TTCTAAGTTTAGGTGAAAAAAGTAAACTAACATAATTAAATGTAATAACACATTATTTTTATTTTTCACAGATAAACTAATATTAATAATAATTTAGAAAACTGTTAATTTTATATTTCAATAGCTAAATACGTTTGTTTTCAAAGGCGGCGTTTAAATAATGAACGGAACAAAACATAGGTGTCAGCGTATAGAGCGACAGATTACATTCTGTATTTAAGATAAAGTTACTGATAAAAAAAAGTCAATGTATGTGACTAAGAGGTGTAGGAATACAGAGCTCTCCTTAGACCCCTAGAAACTCTTGCGTCCTGGATTAAATGTTATGTATTCTCCTGCTTTCCCTGTGAGTAATTTTCCTAATTCTGATGCACTTTACTGGGATAGAGTAAAACGTGGGGCTAAGCTCCCCCTGCTTCCTACGCCACTGTGATTAATGTAAATTAATTGACTGTCTAGGTTGCCAGTTTTTCATTACTTTTCTTCACTGAACTTTTATGAAGCAGCTTTATTCTATATATATATATATATATATCAATAACTCATAATTATTCATACCTGTATGTTTCAATATTATCCAAGTGTTAAGCCTAACTAATGTTTTACTACCATTGTTATGAATTGATTTTTATTTTCTATATTATTTTATAATTCCGGTATTCCAATAGAATAACTCATAAATCCAACGTGTGAAACATTTACTCTGAACAAATTAAGGGGAGTGCGCAGAAATTTTAATTTGACCCCTGATAGTGGGAGGCGCCTTAAACAAAAGTTTATATATATCAACACACGCATATACCTCATATACATAGAAGTAAATAACATCACACTCTACAAATGACCTTTTTCGTATGCCTAGAGTTAGTGGGGACCAGGGCCCCTGCTTCACACACACATATACATCATATGCAAAGAAGTAGATAACATCACACTTTACAAAATGACAGTTTTCGTATGCCTAGAGTTAGTGGGGAACAGGACCCCTGGTTCACACACATTTTAAACACGTCCCTGGTAACCGAATGCTATAGGAATAGTGCAAAAAATTCGTAAAACTTAAACACAAAAATGATTTAGTGTAAGTACCTAGTCAAAGAATTTAAACTAACCTTTTATTCAGTCCAAGAGTGTAATGTCAACAATCGTTGTGCATCAGGGAAAACATCTGTTCACAGCTATTCCACTAAAACAGGAGGAGTTACGTGTTAACGCTTCTGCAATGTCACCCCGCGTATCGACTTGGCAGCAGCACGCGCATTACGTTTTTTTGTTTTACTTCCAAGTTCAAGGTCATGCACAGGTTTTCAAATGATACTGCGTCATCAGTCCTAGTAGCCTTCGAGCTGATAATCAACATTAATCACGAATTCCGGTACGACAAACGTCTCATAAACTATGCCTCAGTATACCGTTTTTATTAAAACGTGCATCACGAAATAGGTTTTTAAGACTGCAATACGCATTCCAATAAGTCTATATTTTCCCCAACGATTGAGTATTCGAATAAAATATAGTAAAATAAATATACGGTCCTGATATAATCAAAATGAAGTTTCACATGAGTAAAATGTTCGTGTTTTCAACAATACGCTGAATACATGAAGTATTATTTAAAAAAGAAAAGGTGAAACGAACATTGTTAAAAGCAGTGGCGGTTCTCTGTGGGTCTGCCCCCTTAAACCACCGCTGGGGGAGCTCTCCCCGCAATTTTAAGGTGGAGAGACACCCCCCCCCCTGGTTAAGTGCAATATTCTACCCAGTTAAAAAGGGAAGTGTGCAGCGAACCTATGCTACTTTAGCTATATAACTCAGATCGAATTAACATGGTGTAAAGTAACTGAAATATTTATGGCATATTTTCAGAGTATATAATTCATAATTATTATCAAAGTCTGACAAATCATAAGTTTAAAACCTATGTAGTCTTTCATACCGGGGTACTTTTCAGATACTGTTTTCATTCGTCATGGTTGTTCCCCAATGGAACAGCGGTAAGTTTACGGGGTTACACCGCTAGAATCCGGGGTTTCATTCCCCGCGGTGTATACAGCAAATAGTTCTAAAACAAACAAACAAATATAATGGCCAATATATATGAAATATGTTGATATATATATATCTTCTTTTCTTTTTCTAAAAATTTAGTGTTATCATAACAGATATTTGGCGTATTTATAAAATACGTTGCTACGAATAAGGAGCTGAACAAAAAAGTCAGGGGTTATTTTAGAACAAATCTTTCACCCACAGAATCTACTGTCAAAACTAAAACAAAAAAACGACATAATATATTTACACTTTAATTAACCAGACTGACTACTTCATCAGTGACGTGTTCTTTGATATTGAAACCTGGTTACAATCAATAGCCGGCAGATTTTGTTTCGTTTTGAATTTCGCGCAAAGCCACATTATGGCTATCTGCACTAGCCATCCCTAATTTAGCAGTGATAGTCTAGAGGAAAAGCAGGTAGTCAAAACCACCAAATGCCAACTCTTGAGCTTCTCTTTTACGAACGAATAGTGGGATTGTCCGTAGATATATAACGCCCCACGGCTGAAAGGACGAACATGTTCGGTGACGGAGATTCGAACCCGCGACCCTCAGATTCCGAGTCGAGCGTCCTAACCACCAGACCCAATAGCTGACACAGAAATACAAGAAGCTTACTGGATCAGCATTTTAAACAATGTCATCTCATATGATATGAACCTTGACCCCGGTATTAAAGTTCTTCGTTCTTTATCTCACTCGTTTTGAAATTGATTAATCTATTTTTGAATTAATAATACTTTAACTCTTATGACGTAAAGTTCTTTTTTATTCCTTCATTGTTTTTTTAATTTGTATCTATTATTTTGATGTTATCATTTGTATATGTATTATCATTGGAGTTGATTTTTTAAATGTTATTAATAGTCGATAAATCTTCCATTTGCCCTCGACCTTTAAGTAATTGTGTTTACCTCGGGTAATTGTGTTTCTTTACTGGTCCTAATTGTTTTCTGTTCCTCCTGCATGGTTTTTGGATATTGTATTTGTATTCAGAAAATATTTGCTGTATTTCTGGAGCAGATGAAAAATATACTGTTTGTATTCTGAACAATATTCACTAAATTTCTAGAGCAGACTGTACAAACATTGTTTATTAATTGCCTTACTACTAGAACAGATTGTTTTAAAGTATTGTTTATATTCTCAACGATATTCGCTCAATAGCTAAAAATATTCTAAACAATATTCAATATATTACCAGTTGTTCTATCTCTCAACAATATTCACAGTATTACTGCAGAAATTGTATAAATACTTTTTTATATCCTAAATAGTATTGGCTGTATTGCTAAGCAGAATGAAAAATACTTTCTGAGTTTATAATACGTCGTGCTAACTGGGGAATATTTATCATTTGATAAACAAACGACTACTTATTCCAGATGACTTGGAATTTACTTTGCCCCAATGTTTCACCGTTGTGTCTTCTTCCGGTCTCACACAAAAATGAACTTTAAACTCTTAGCTTAGAAACTAAGGTATCTTATTCTCTTGATCAGTCCCCCCCCCCCCCCGTTGCGTCAGAGGGGTAAGTCTACTTGATGTACAACGCTAAAATCAGGGGTTTGATTTTCCTCGGTGGACACAGCAGATAGTCTGATGTGGCTTTGTTATGAAAAACACACACTTGAACAGTTTTGTGCGAGCCCTGAAGAAGCTGTAAAGACTAAACGTTGTCTCAACAATATATGTTGTACTATTTGAGTTCGTTAAATAATGTTTATATATAAAATGCTTGCATTGATCCGTTGTTGTAAATCATTAGTGTTATTAAATGTGCTAAAATCCTGATCAAAATTTCATGTTTTCAGTTTTTAATCACAGATGAGAATTACAATTGCCCTTCCAAACACATCTACCCTTTACGTAAAATTACAGGTATACGGTTATTAAGATATCAAAGTCAGCCGAGATAAACACTTCCCTGGAATTAGCCCAAAAGCACTATAGCTACACAATGACACCTGTGCTCTGTTCATCGCGAGCATCGAACCACATATTTTAGCGTTATAACCCCATAAGTTTACCGCTGAGCCACCGTGGGGAATGGCAAGTTATGAAATAAATACGTAAAAAACTTATTTAAAATAATTTTATTATACTTATAAACATTATTTAGACCAAAAATACAACTAATCACTCATTGTCATGGTTAGTAGCCTACACGATCACCTAAATCTAAAGTTATTAATTAATAATTAAATTTAGGTAATCACATGGGCTGCTAACCATCACTACTATTGATATCTGATCGCAATAACCTTACCATAAGTGTATTTACTCATTTTCTTTTGTTATAGAAATAATGTTTGTAACTGTTCAAACACACACACACACGGAAGACAGACAACGAAACTTCCCATGCTCCAAGTTTAGTTTGGCACAGATTTCAAACTTAACTGGTATACATACATTCACAACTTTACGCAATTCCACAGTGTATTTGAAATATAATTCCAAATGAAACGCCATTCACTTTTCGATAAATAATTATTTCAACTTCAACTGATTCTAGATGTCTCCTCGTTTCCTTCACGGTACATCACGTGACGTGTTCTATCTATAAACAAAACCCTAGCACGTGATAATAACAACAAACCTTAGGCCTATTTTGAAAATGCGGTAAAATTCAGTAAAAGCTACACCTGAAAGCGTAACCGGGTTAAAGGCAAAAAATCAAATTGAATCATATTTTTAAAGCAAAGAATACTAAACGATTATATGAAATAACTGGATGTTAGGTTTAATTTCGTATATTACTTTAAAAACCAACATCATTTCACCAAAAGATTTCGTTTTTAATCATGATAAATATTATTTAATTACACATATCATGCAAGAGTATATATATATAAGCGTTTCGTATTTATTTATATTTCAAAACACAAGCTTTTTTGCTAAATATATTTTAACCTTTTAATTACCGTCTTTTTTTTCATACCTTCACTGTCGTTGATCCATATTTTGCTCTACATTGATTAATTTTATGTTGTACTTGTCCGCTAAAACACTTGATGTACAGAACTGGAAGAAAAAAATTATTATCACTCATTTTTATGTCAAATACATAGGGTACTTAATATTTATAGGTTTTTTTGTTATATTTTTGTAACTCGTATATCAAACAACGTCGTGGGCCCACAAGCAATTGGGTGAATAAGTTTGTAAAATGAGCTTAAAACTGATGAGTCCAATTGCATCGGTGAATTTAGGGTTGATAAATCATAATAAATCAGATACATCTGTAAAACTAGGGATGATGAGCAAGGATACTTTCATCTTACTTAAGAACCACTAAGTTTTTAAATTAGATATGAGGACCTACTTCTACTCTTCTCTCCTTTGCCAAATTGCTTCCAACTGTCGCCATTTGTAATTTTCTGGAGTTTTCACATCATGTTTATGTTTCCATTTTAACTTTTAATAGTCTTTCTGAGAAGTTCACGATGCCGATGGAGTTCCAACAAATCGTTCCTGATCGTTCGAGTTACAGAGATCAAATCATTATTTTGCAAACGTACTTTGACCATTAAGCAAAAGGTTGACATTTTTTTAACGATAAAACTTAATGTAAACAAGGTCAAAATAATTAAACATCGGAAGATATTTTCCTTATTATAAACTTAACTGTTATAATTTCAGTTTGTCACAGGTGAAATTGTCGGTTTGACCCTCTCGGGCAAAGGCTACTTCTTCTCTCAGATCAACTGCGTCACTGCCAGTTTCTGCATACAATACGGTTACGAAATAGATGCGTCGCAATACCAGTGATGAAACACACAAAATAATTTCCTTTTACTGTTCCGCAACAAGTAACACAGGGAGATCTATGTGTGTCCAATAGCAGTAAAAGGTATGTAACAAAAATAAAATAAATCAAAATTTATCGTGTCAAACAACGTACAACAACTCAACCGGTAAACACACCGGTAACTGCGCCATCAATCGTAGTTTTGTGTATATCTGCGTAGGCCTATAGTGTCGTCATTTACCTGGCATTTTGCCAATTCCCGTAGGCCACGTGCTCTTTTGACGTAATCTTTATAGTGTTAGTAATAACACGCATTTTCTATATACATCAGGTCTTGTTATATATATATATATATATATATATATTTTTTTGCATGTGAAATATATTTCACACTCAACAAATAGATTACTACATAAAATGAGAAAAATTTAAACAGCAAAAGAAAATACGAAAACTCACAGATGAAACTCTTGTTTTTTTCCTTAACAGAAATAACCAAGGTGGATCTGTTGATCAGTATCCAAGGTTACATTGTCAGTTCTGATAAAAACGCGACCTCTACTTGCAGTTTATTTGAAGCCTGAAATAACAGGATAAACATTAAAATTTCTGATTCATATTTTCTTTTCACCAACCACATGAAGCAGGAAAGAGAAGTTGACAAGCTGTTTGTTGCCTCAAAAAAAAAAAAAAAAAAAAAAAAAAAGTGTGTGTTTCATCTTTGCAACAAGAAGCTTCGCTTGGTTTATCACTTTATTTCATAAATACATAAGTATGTATATTTCCAGAAAATCTGGCTAACTTTACTGACATAATGATCGCTTTTTTTAACACCTGGCTTATTTAAGAATCCAGTTGCTCATGAGAGCAACAAATTATATTGTTTTTCGTTACCAGTGTTTTAAAAATGGTCACATAAACCGCTAAAACTGGGTTTCGTTACTCGTAGTGGGCACAGCACAGATAATCCATTGTGTACCTTTGTGCTTAACAACAAACAAACAAATCACACACTTAAAAAATACTTCTAATATTATTAGACATAATATTTAAATTCCATCTGTAGAAGCGTGACATGGCCTGATGTTTAGGGGCGCTCGACTCGCAGGTTCGAGTCCCTGTCACCGAACATGCGCGCCCTTTCAGCCGTGAGGGCGTTACAATGTGACAGTCAATCCCACTTTAAGGTATTTCGTATTTTCGATCTGAGAGTCACTCCATGCGCGCTCTTTCAGCCGTGAGGGCGTTACAATGTTACAGTCAATCCCACTTTAAGGTATTTCGTATTTTCGATCTGAGAGTCACTTCATGCGACACATTACCAGGTTATATATATTGCGAATCGTGGTGCCTGTCCGAGCGTTCGTCTGTCTCCCGTTTGAAAAGCTGCGCACGCAGACAAAGATCAACATTCACTTTTGAAACGACGGGAGAACAAGCGTGAATAATGTTGATTCCTAATTTTATTTCGCAAGCAGGATATTCTACACTAAATTGTTAGGAATTAATCACACTAAGAATAAAAAATGAAGATTTACTGTATGTTATTATTGAGAGGCTCTTAGCTTGACTGAAATGCTCAACAATTACTTTTCTCAAAGCTGTGGCTCTGAGAGAAATCAAGAGTGCAACACAATTAACCTTTTTAAAATCCATGAAATAATTTAAATTGATAGATTATCTTAAAAAATTCCCGTCGCTGGGGACGGGTACTTTTGCTTGTGTTAGATATTCCAAGACTTAAGCCTAACCTTCCCCTAATCTTGAACTGCTGTTGAGAAGAAGGGAAACCAATCAGCAGCACCCACCGCCATATTACAGCTACTGTTAACAGAATAGTGAGATTGATTTTCACTTTTATAACGCATCCAAAGTTAAAAGTTCGGAGTGTGTTAAACGACATATCGCAGGATCGAACCTTGGACCTGGTGACCTTTAACTCTAACCACTGGGTCTCGCCCTACCCAAACCGTTTAAAAAAGCTTTAGAAAAACCATTGGCGTTGTAATATTTTATCAGAAATTGTTCATGTTTTCATAAAGCTTAAATATTTTTCACGTAGTTGCGCAGTCAAACAATTATGTAGACTTCCTAGCTTATATTCACGTTGCCATTGTGAATTTTGAAAATGTATGTACTCCTCAAAGTTATATTTGAATACACTGCAAAAACAGGATAATTGGAATTTACGATATGTTAAGAAAGACCAGACAAAACCACGGTCTTAAAGTAAGGTTAACCAACTCCTCAATTCATTTTTATGCGAAACAGGTGACCTGAAGTACAAATGATTGACCACTCAGTATAAACTAGTAAATTAAGTCTCATGACTTTCACTTTAGTGTTGAGTATAGTCGTTAGTCGCAGCAACAGCGTCTTGGCACCATTGTTACTTGTTGTGGGGTGCAGTGTCAGTTTTAGCTTCTGCGGGGTCCTCAACTGTAACTATCTGAATTCTTTATCAAAACGAATGTAGAGTCTCATTACGGTCCATGTTACCACGTTCGGTCATGCACTATCTAACGACCGTGCATCTTTACAACACCATCCGCAACGGGGTTTCAGTTGTAAAAGGTCGTAAGGATATCATGTCAGAAGCATACCACACCTCTCTGCTGGCTTTCCATAAGCCATCTAGTGTACAAGGACAATGGTTTCCCAGCACCAGCTTCAATAGTCAAATCACATAGAAACTTATAGACTGGCGTCTTGACTGTTTTTTTTTTTAGTAGATAGTGTGGCGAACTGCGAATCCGAAGATTCATGGTTTGCGTTCCGTTGCTTCAAAATCGTGCTCCGTGCTTTGAGGCTGTGATTTTGTTACAAAATTGACGTTCAGATCCCGCAGTTCGATAGGTACTGTTAAATAAATGCCTTCTCTCTAGTTTACCAATTCAAAATTAGGGAAAGGCTAGTGGAGATAACCCTTTGTGTTGCTCTGCGTGAATATCCGAAACACACAAACATATGCACTTGCCCTGGTGTTATCATCTATATTTGTCTTCCGGTGTGTCAACAGTAAGTTTACAGCCTTATAAGGCTAAAATCCGGGGTTCGAATTCCCCGGAAGATAGAGTACAGACAGCTCATAATGTAACTTTGCACAAAGTAAACAACAACTCGTATATATCTATAGAAATAGTTTTTCTTCTTTATATTATGCTCTTTATTGAAGTCGTTTCAATACTTTTTTTGTTTTTTGTTGTATATATAACTATCTTGAGTACCCATACGTTAGACGGGTGAAATAAAAACTCGTTTGTAACAAAGGATAGGAAATTGTGCTTCTGTTTTTTTTTTCTTAACATAATAAACATTAAAAGCGCAATAAGAATACATAAAGGTACCAATACTAAAAAGAAAGACGTACTGTTTTCAAGAATTCTATCAATAGTGGTTACATAGTTTATTGTAATACTGATGGATATACAACATTGATAGTTTTTCCGAAATTAAATATGAAATTAAATGAGGGGGGTCCAACCCCCATGACCTTCCTCATGTCATCCTGTGTTACTGTGCCAAGTTTGGTGTTGATTGATCAAGAAATGTGGAAACGTATGAGGAACAGAACGTAGAACCTTCTAGTCACATATTGACGTTTATTTATATATAATATGTTCTTTTAACTGTATTATTACAAGCTTTAAATAAAGAGTATTTTTTGGCATAGTAAATATATCCTACTATCTTCATCCCATGTCCTAACTTTTATATATCTCGTTGAGATATCAATAAGTCTTGATTGGATCAGTGGTTAAACCTAGAGCTGCCTAACCCACGAGATCGTTTCTTTTAGAAAAATGTAAGAATTTAACTATTCGGTGCAACCGTTTATTAAGTATACTTAAACCATTATGTGACAGAAGTCTCTGCGTTTATGTGTCCGCTTATAACTGGTGAACCGATGGACCGATTGTTAACAAACCTGGCATGTACCTTTAGGGACTCCGTTAAGTCGGCACTTGGATATGATCCACGTATGTCTTCCCCACGCGTTTTATCTGCTTACTTATAAACTGCGACCTGCTGGACTGCTTGTTACCAAATCTAGTATATACCCTTACCCCCCCCCCCTTAATCTGATCCACGTATGTCTTCCCCGTGAAATGAACAGGTATGTCAGCTAGAAATATATATTAGAGAAGAAACATTCACCATTAGTTTTAACGACAACCAAAGCCTTCCTGCACAATCCTTTAATTATCCTAAAATATTGTTCAGGCTCCCCTTGGCCTCTTGTTCCATACAGTTAGGGTGGCTAATCTTAAGCTATTTTCTTAGCTGGGGTTTGGACTCCTCTCGGGCTCTCTCTCACTTTCATCACTGACTCGTCTGAACAATTATGCGACCATATGGCCCGATGTTCGAGGTATTGGTCAAGCACGGCTTAATGGTCAACTGTGGTATAGAGGTCTGAGGTTCGAGTTGCGATATGCCGCTAAACACGCTCCGCACTTTTAGCTATGAAAGAGTTATAACTCTTACAATAATTCCCATTGTTCAGTTAAGACTAGCCATATAGGCGGCGGGTGTTGTGGACTGGATACCCCTCCTCTAATAAACATTTTTTAATGCTTGGAGACGGCTTGAATGGGTAATGAAGAAAACCGTTAATATAAGTTTAACATAACAAGAAATGTACAACGTTTCGACAAGGTTTTGTCATCAGGTACAAATAGTTTACACTGACACAGATATATGTTTGCCTGAATTTTTGTGACATTGATCGTTTAACTCTCTAAGTGTGGTTCAGGTTGAAAATACCAATACAAAAAACAGAACAGTTATTATATTTTACTAGCTCCTAATTGGTTTGTTCACAGTATTCAGGAGTTAAGTGACTAGAAAGTTCCACGTTCTCTCAGAACAAAGTAACAGTTTAACCCATTACATAACAACTCATAACCCTGAGATAAATTAGGATATGCTGAGAAGGGTGATGCGTTGGGTAGTAAATTGAATTTAGTTCTGAACTAGACTTTAGGTAGAAGTATTCTTTTGACAAGCTTTACGACATATATATATATATACGTATTCTAATATACAAACACGCTTATTTTTTACGTCAGAGATGAAAGTAAAGGATTTTATATAAGTAAAGGATAAGATATAGTTACTAAAATAGAACCAAAAAAAAAACAAAAGCTGGTAAACCCGAGGAGGACGCCAAAAAGAGGAAAACTCAAGTAGCGTAGCCCAAGAG